AAACAGCATTGTGTAATACTTTAAATTCCTGTTAAAACAATCAGTAAGAATAGATGTCAATTTGCAAAAAGTAGTTGATCGAGTTTCGGTATTTTGTGAAAACAGTTTTCTACTCAATCGGATGTAAACACACGGACCGAAAGGTAACACGGAACGGCCTACATGGTGAGCGTGGTCATTCGCAATTATATAATGCTTTCATTTACCCAACTGATTCGACTAAACAAATGCAAAGCTATTCCTTCGGTTGTATTCTAATAGAGAGGACAGTCAGAACATTCAACGGAATGATGGACTCTTTAAAGGAGCAAGTAAAAATTTTCGCTCAAACAAATTAACAAGCATAAGTGTTGATGTTGCCAGCAGCAAAAGCATTCGTCACTAATAACATTTTAAGTGAAAACGTACAATCCATCCCCCTTCACGACAGTACTTGTAGAAGAACCAAAGAGGAATGCAGAGAATGGGAAATGCAGCGGTGAGGTAGGCAAGCGAATGGGCCCAATGCGGAAAAACGTAGTTGTCCAGTTGTAACTCTGTGGTGCTCACCATGGAGAATACAATTAAAGCGATGGTGATACCTGGTGTAGTGATGAGCCAAGAGATCCGCCAGTACCAATTGGGGCGAGCATTAATCATCAATTCAATGTCTCTCCGGAATTGCTTCAGACCTAAGTCCGAAACGGATGAAATGGTAAAGTCAAATTTTCTCCCTCTCTCCCCCAATGCAAAGAAACCTGACAGCCTTAACAGACCGTAGTGGCACTTGGTTAGCGAAGCTAGCACTCAATCAAATTATGGATTCAAATCACAGAAATAACGCACTTTCAAGCAAAAATGCGAACAAGGCTTTTCATAAACTACTTGAGATTGATGCACTTCGCTCGCATTGTCTAGCATCTTGTACTCTAGATACACTGTTCTCCTTTAGGATTTTAGATACAAAATGAGTTGCTGAATTACAGACTACAACTTTACACCTCATTGTTCAAATAAGCTTAATCAAGGAATAAGAATCCTTTTAACGTGTTCAATATCTATTCCAAACAAGTTATTGCCCTATGAGTCATACCTGTCCTATTCTATCCTCATTAACATTCCGTATGCTCGTACGACTTCAATACTAAATAACGAAAGGTAGATGTTTGGTGTCGATCGAAAAACCAGTCGCACATTCGCTTTGCATTTGCACCTATTCACCAAATAGCAGGCACGTTGATGACTCAGCAAAGCCCTGCAAACAAATCTGCGTGTCCACAACGAAATACCGGCCACAGGTGTGAAAGCATGTCTAAGGCGACGATGAAGATCAGGATTTAGCAAACGCTCCTACCACGTACAAAAACACAGCAGTTTCGCACATATGCTGACTACTAAAACCGGCTTTTGTATCCTCCTCTTCTATGCATCACTTGCTTGTTAGCGGTGTCGGATTCGTCTGTTCGGACACCATCGCGTGATAGCAGTCCCACTTCTAATTGTCTGTTATGTTACAAAGATGAACACTGCTTGTTAGGTGTTTTTTTCATTAGTATTATACCGACCGATGGATTAGCTGTAATGACAGAAAACGTAGAACATTTACATGGCTGCAGTTACGAAAATGAACAAGAGAAGTTAAGGTTGTGTCCACAGTGAGTTCCAGCTTTACACGTATATGATGATCAATTTTCTATTAATCAACTACTTTTGGCACTCGGGATGGAGTATCAGAAAACGAGCAATGTGATTGGCTCTAAGACCCCACCTTGCTCTGTGGAGCGAAAAACTTCATTTATCTTCAGCAATCATTAACTAAAATGCTCTTAAAGTGTCCAAGAAGTGTTTAATCAAGAACCTGAGCATCGACAATGAAATTAGCCTGTACTTTACGTAGTAATTAGGATATAAATGGGCACCAAGATCGCACGGGAAGCGCAATACTCATCCAAACCATCTTTGTTGTTAGAATTAGCAAAATTGCAGATAATTAGCAGAGAAGAAGGGCTTAATCAACTCCACTAAAATGCATCCTTCAATATGATTAAAATTAATGAGCTTTTCTAACACTGTCGACTACTACCCGTTACCTCCTCAATGCATAAAGAGCAACCATGAGGAAAACACCAAATATCATAGAATGTAGAAAAAAAA